TGTAGTCATATATGGAATGAAACTGTCGGAAGATACTTTGATGTTTTGAGATTAATTACCATTTTTTCAAGATCTATCTAAATCTAAAGTTAATTACTTTTTCCATTAGTTTACACATCATGTTGGTTAATGCGATCGATCTATACTTGTTAGAAGTTCTGTTGGAGTTTCTGCAGGCTTCAGGATGGAAATGAATATAGCTTTAGTCCATCTTATTAGAAATATGTTATGTGACCATATGCAATTTAAAAGTGATAGTATGTAGGTAAGTTTCTTAAAAGGTAAGTTATTTAAGAATATATTCGAAATTGGATCAGGTCCTGGGCTGGTGTTTGTGCATTTATACCTCATATATGTTTTGGTATAGTAGTTCATTAAGTTGAAGAAGCGAATTTACAGCAGTAATGACGTGATGTTCTGTGGTTTCGGAAGTTGGTGGATTAGATACATTTTTCGGTTTGAATCATAGGAATTCCTTTGTATAGTTGTCACTAGCATTTCTTTGGAATATTTAATAAAAGCTAATACTTCCGATATTTGGCTTGCACAATAATGAGTGAGTTAATATCTTTGACTAAGTAATCATAAATTGATGACTTAGACCTTCCAACATTTCCATCTTTTTCCAAATAGTTATAGTTAAGGGTGGAATGTGTGAGTTAAGGGACGATACGTATTTTAACCATGTCCATCTTTTACAATTTTACGAGAAATGACTCAATATTTTTTAAAATTGATGAGATTTTCAGAAATTGTGTATCTTTTGTATATATTGTAGGTAGTATTTTTGCAGTATACGGAGTATAAACAATATTTAGTCCACCATGGAATATATTTAGTTTTAGTATTGTCAATTCTGGTCCTCGAGATAGTTGTGTTGGCTGCATTAACAATGATTTCAGGGTAATATTCAAGAGTTATGTTGAGTGTTTCATGATTCACAGGATTAAGTTCTATAAATAGAGGAGATGAATTGAATATTATCTGTCGATATAATTCCCAGTTGGTTTTGCGAGAAATCCATCTAGATGGTCTGACATGTGTCTTCTAATTTTTATTTAAAAATGATCACTATCGTAAGATGCTTAGGATGCTTCATGTAATGTTTTGAAGAGCTACACAAAAATAAGTCTATCGCACTGAAATAAATAGACGTACAAAAGTGAGTAGGTGTATTTGTATTAAGTAAGTTTAGGTTGACTGCATTAATGAATCTCTCAATGACAGTTTAGCTCGTGTATCAACTTCACATGACTCCCGAAAGAAGTTATGGCTATTGAAGTCACTAAGAATAATGCAAGGTTTACGAATTTGATTGATTAGGTGGATTAAATCTGTTTCATAAAGAGAAATATTTCTATACTATAAATATTTCAGTACATATGTAACATATAATATACATTTAGATGAATATTATATGTTACATATGTACAGGCTGACAAGGGAAGCTGAGATTAGTACAGGTTTTTTTCCGATTTCAGGGAAACCTGAATAGGATCAAACACTTCGATGTAGCTAATGATTCACTTAGTGTTTCTTCGGCGAAGTTGAGGACTTGTACCGATCAAATAATACACTCGCCTCCTTCCCGTGGTGTTCCCTGGAACTCTGTGGAAAGTTGGCTTCGGCCTCTCAAAGCGGGGTACGAAAGAGCGAATGGTCGAGAGGAAGGAGATGTTAAAACTCTAAATATGATGGACACTAATATAACTTACCAAGTTACATGTTCAGGAGAGTTCGGAACCCCCAGGCCCGGCACTGCTGGAATGTGGAACTCTCTATCTCAGTGTAGACAGGTGAATAAGCGTATAAGGGGACAAAGAGGGGACGCCCGAAGGATCCGGCAGTGCCAGGACGCGCGGAAGAAGAGTGCGGCCCACGAAGAAGGAAGTGAAGAATGACAACACCATCGGGACGAGGAGGATTATTTCCTCGACCCGTCCACGGACGCGCCGCGCCCGTAAAGGGGGGACGAAACCATTGCCGACGGACGAAAAAATGGCGACAGACCTTAGAAAACAGCCGTCGGCAAATTTAACGGCCATCGTCATCGAGAGTGCGATGACGGTGGAAAAGATTGCGGCTGCATCCAGCAATCTCAAGGATATCTACAAGAGATACCTGAGAGACCCGACCGGGAAGGCACGCGCCAGTGTAAACTGAACTGACAAAAAGAAACTGTTCCACGGCAAAAGAAGCTGGAGACAGAAATTATGATGCTTAGGTCGCAAAACCGTTACATGGAGGAGAGGATCGCGGAGCTGGAAAGCGTCGCTTCTAGGTCCAACAATGTAAACCCGCCAACAGCGACCAAAAAGATAGAGCCACAAATGTGCCCAGACCCGTCGGAGCCCACGTCTTCACCAGGAGAACACAGCGCGGATTGCCGACGAAGGGCACGACATCTCCACTCAAAGAGATGGTAAGACCGCTGGCGAGAGAGGATCTCGCTGACCTGCGGGAGGAAATCCGCAGGGGAAAATAGCGGATCGCATCGAGCTGGCCAGAGAAGAGATCAGGACCATGGAGAGCAGGCCGCCGCCGAAGAGGAACGTCCCAGCGACGAATAGCGAGAATGCGAAAGCCCCGCGGAAGAGATGCGCTGAAGCGGCCCCCGCAGCCATGAACAGCGCCGGAATCACCGCATGGACCATGGTAGTCGGCAGGAAGCAGACGCGTCGAGAGAGGAGACAGGTCGAAGCCTCCAGAAGGCAACCGCCGAAGCAACAACGACAACAGCAGCGACGGAG